AGGATGAAATGATGGAGAGGGACTGAAGCCACACAGCCCTGAGTGTGGAAAGGGATTGATTTATTTCAGACGCAGGAAGGAGGCCAGTGTGGCTGATGTGGAAGGAACGGGGGAGGTGGTTGCGGGGAGTCCCAGGCTCTCTAAGCGATAGGGGTGTCCCCCGCACCCATTCTCCCAAAGTAGTACCAGTCTGAGATCACAGGACACAGAGAGGAGGTACAGATTTGTTTTCCTGAGCAAAATCTCAAGTCAGGGGCGCCTGGCAGGCTCAGCCCGTAGAGCCTGTGACTCTTGATCTCAGGGTTGTGAGTTCAAGCCCCACGTTGGGCATAAATATTACTTAAAAATAAAATCTTAAAGGGTTGCCTGGGTGGCTCAGTTGCCTTCAGCTCAGGTCATGATCCTGGAGTCCCAGGATTGAGTCCCACATTGGGGTCCCTGCTTGGTGGGGAGTCTGCTTCTCCCTCTGACCCTCCCCCCTCTCATGTGCTCTCTCTCTCTCAAATAAATAAATATTTAAAAAATAAAATAAAATCTTAAAAATACATCTTAATTCGGTATGAAAAGTTCAGAGACTCCTATGTACCAGTCACTTCAGCTTAAAACAGAACTCGGTCTTGTATTTTCTAGACCCTCAGCCCAGTGCTGCATCGGCTCGAGCTGTGCCTCCTCACCTGTTCGACACCCCCCCACATCTCTCCGTGCTGTGTGAGCCCCGAGACATCCCCCTGTGGGCAGCTGTTCTGTTCACCCCCTCTGCAGCCTACCCATCAGCAGCTGTTTCTGTCTAAGGAAGAGTAAAGGACTATTTAAAGGAATATGGGGTGGGGGCGGGCAAAGGGAGCAGAGGAGGCCTAGTCTGGGCTCTGGATGGGCAGGCGAGGCCAGAGGGCTGTTGACCATCTTCCACATGGGCCTGCAAATGGTTTTCGGAGTCACCAGGGACAGGCGAGTACATTGGGAAGAAAGGTAGCCACAGGATGGATCCCGCCGAGGTCAGGGCAGGAAAGACGGTCTGTGATTGAAAGGTGCCACCTGTCAGATCTTCATGGGAAATCTGAGCCTCCTAGGCCAAGGGAAAGTGTTGTACCAACAGGGCGGTAAACAATGCTCTTCTTCGGCTGAAGGCTCTTGAGGGGGGGGTGGGGCGGGGTGGAAGGGGGGGAAAGGGGGAGGCGGGCAGACAGAAGAGCTGGGGGCTAGAGGCCACTGGCTGGGGCTAAAGGCAGCCTGGGAGTAAGGCCACTCAGCTGGAGGAAGGAGACAACTCCAAGCCCCCAGGCAGAGGCCCCACAGGTAGGAGAAACCCCGGGTCCCTTTCTAGGTGCCGCCCTCCAGCTGCCAACCCCTCTCCCACCTTCCAAAGGCTGGAGCCTCCATGCAGAGCCCCAGAGTTGGAGAAATCCAGGCTCTTTGCTAATTCTCTCCACCTCTCTGTCAACTCTCTTTGGATGCCAGAGGTCAGGGACCCAGCCCTAGGGTGTTGGGCAACTCAAGATCACCTACAGAGTAGCCTGCAGGTGGCCATCCCGGGAGGACCTGACAGGGGCAGAGAGGGCCTTGGGAGTCTGGTCTGGTCGGGGTGGGAGGCAGACTCTCTAAGCAGTTGAGAGTGACTTCTCCAAGGCGGGGTCACTGGCTGGGATGGGGGACGGCAGCAGCCTCAGGACCACCAGAAGACAAACTAGGTGTCAGGGGCCCGGGGAGGTTTTAACAGAACCATCAAGTGTCATCTACACTCTCTGGGGCTTGGAACTTGAGCTCCTGGGTTCTTTTTCTCCCAGCCAGCCAAGAGAAACACGGAGAGGGAAGGAGCTTGGTCTGCAGTGCTGCTCTGGATACAAAACAGGGTGCCCGTAGGCTTGCTGGGGAGGAAGGGGGAGGGGAGGTGGGGAAGGAGGGAGGGAGGGAGGGAGGGAGGGAGGAAAGGGCTAGAGCCTCGGAAGGGACACTGGCTGAGGAGCTGGTGGGAGCAGCATCTTTGGCACAAGCGCCTGACCGGTTGTCAGGAGACCCGGATTCTAGGTATGGTTGGGCCCTTTCATTGTCCTGTGACTTTACTCAAGGGACTTCAAATTCCTAATCTGTAAAATGGGGCCGGTAACACTGATTGCAAAGGGCCAGAGTGAGGAATGAGTGAGGTCTTGCAGGGCACCGCGGGGTAAGCTGGAAACCTGCTAGAGAATCGTCAGTGTCGGGGTGGGTGGTGCCAGCCCGGCTTCTCACATTTTGGGGTTCCTCACTCCTTATCTATTTATGACAAGCCGGGGGGGGTGTGTGGAAAGCTGAGGTGATGAACATGCAGGACGGCAGAGGGGTGTGTGTGTGTGTGTCTGTGTGTGTGTGCGTGCGCACACACACATGCACCTGCCCTTCCTTCCCTCCCACCCCCACCCCCCACAGAGTGTAGCATGTAGCCGAAGGGAAGGATGGCGACTGCGCTCTGCTAAGTCTTAGCCAAGCACCACCGCACCTTGAGGTATAAAAGGGGCTTGTTGTCATCTTACTGCCGTTCAGTCCTCTTTGCCTTGCCTTTGACCTCATGGCTGGGTCAGGGCCAACATTAACGGGCAGAGGCCAACCTACAACCACACAAGCTGCTCCGTACTGAGGGCCCCCTTCAGGGCCCCTGGCTGGCTCAGCCGTAGAGCACACTACAATAAAGTCCTGAGTGCCCCCTTCATGCCAGGCACACCTCAAAAGACTTTCTATGCATTGGCCTCCTTAACCCTCTAGCACCCTACAGGGTGATTTCTATCTCTACACATCACAACACAGGGAGGGCTGGTAGCTTGCTCAAGATCACACAATTAGCAAACAGTGGGAAGACTCCCACAGAATTGATGATTTTCACCACTGCTCCACACCACCTTCCAAACACGAGCATGGAGTTTGGGGTTGGGTGGATCATTTAGGCCAACATCTGTCATACTTGCTGCTGGGAAACGGGGCATTGCTCAAGATGGCGGTAGGTGCGTCTCAGGAAAAGCAAAGCAAAAAGAAAAGAAAGCAAGAAAAAATAAATCCATGGTCGAATAAGTTTGGGGAACAGTGAGTTAAATAAAGCTAAGCAAAGTTAAGATTTCTTTACTATGGAGTCTCTAAAATCCCCTTCCGTGCTAATGAAGTTGAGTATCTCTAAAATGGTAAACAGGAGGCTGTTCTGGAACAGCCGTAGCCAGAGAATGCATTTCCCTGACCCCAGCTCCTATTAATGTCTTAGGAGACGCTAGTTTTCCACAGAACAGTTTGGAGAATCTGATCTAGACCAGTCCTGTCATTGTCAGTAGAAACCGAGGATTCGAGCAGCAAAGGACCGCTCAGGTCTCAGAGTGAGCGACTAAGAGATGGGGGCCGATCTGGCTCCCCGCTGATGTGCATTCCATCCCCAGCTGGTTAGCTCCCAGCTAATACATTGCCGGAGCTGCTGAACCATGAAGGGGCTCTGGCAGGAGGGGTGGAGTTGGAGGAGGGTATGAGCATCTTTGCAAATCCCAGCCTGCTTCCTCGGAAACCGAAACCCAGGGACCTCGGGGACCCTGGACTGGGGGCAGCAAGACCCGAGTGGATGGCAGGAATGGAATGGAGTCCTGTTACCAGTCTGTCTGTCTTCCTGCCTCTGTCCCAACTGCCCAGGTGCTCTGGGTACTGTCGCCCAGAATGATGGCACGGCAGAGGGCAGGAGGTATTTTTAGCTGGTGACAGGAGTACCTCCTCTTACTGCCTGAGTCATGCCCTGAACACTATTGGAGGATTGTTTTCTTTGTAAACAGACACCCAAGAAGGGCAGGGGGATGAAGGAGCTACTCCTGCTGGGAGTAGCTCCTTCCCCCCACCCCGGGCCCCCCGCCCACCTGTCTTTGTAGATGCTACCGTATATACAGTACTCGAATAGGAAAGCTCATGTCAGCGTATCATGACCTCTCCCCCCCCACCCCCCGCCCCATGCCTGGCAGTTAGAGGGTCAGATTTCTCTGGCAGAGGTTAGGGAGAGTACGTTTTGATTCTTCACCAAGATAACCTCTCCCACGTCCAGGCCCTCCTTGTCTGAGAACCACTAGCAGAGCTGTGACAGAGTGGTGGCGGCTGGTGAAGCTGGAAGAGCCCCAGAGACCAGCTGGCCCAGGGTTTCCCGAATTTCAGGCATTTTTACGCCACCCCTGGGGATTTAGGCACATCTGCGCCACCTGTGTCCTGCTTTCCTGAATGCCTTCCTTTGAAGTAACTTATTTTTAAATTCAACAAATATATTTTTAGGGGCGCCTGGGTGGCTCAGTTGGTTGGGCGACTGCCTTCGGCTCAGGTCATGATCCTGGAGTCCCGGGATCGAGTCCCACATCGGGCTCCCTGCTCAGCAGGGAGTCTGCTTCTCCCTCTGACCCTCTTCCCTCTCGTGCTCTCTGTCTCTCATTCTCTCTCTCTCAAATAAATAAATAGAATCTTTAAAAAAAAAAACAAATATATTTTTAAAAGAAAGTTTATATCACTATTGGAAATGGAAACTCAAGATCACTGGCCAGAAATAGAAAGTAACCGTAAAAAGAAATACAACGGAAACAAAGAGGTACTATTAGGTTCGATCCGGATACTCCTGCCTGCCCCTGAGGCTAGCTACCACCTCCCTGAAAAAGGGAGAAGAGCAACTGCTCCACAGGTGTTCCCGAAGGCCAGGATCCCATTCTAACCATTTCATTGGCTTAATCAGAAAGAGACAAAATCCTTGAAGAGGCATTACGTGACCTAATGTGCTTTAAAGCCCAAGCCACAGTCTGCAGAGGGCTGTTAGGTGAACACCATCCCAGGGCAAGTCAATGTGACCCAACACCTCACCTTTGGGGAAGCAGCGCTGGACCCCTTCATTTTACCGCAGGGAACGTGGATGCTCCTGTCACATGTCCAAGCAGTGGGGCCGAGGGGGACCCAGGACTGAGCAGCAGGCCTCCAGACTCCCAGGGCTCTCTGAGGGCAGGGTGTTCACCTCACGCAGGAATGGGGCATGACATGACCAGGTCTGCTTGTCTCCACTTTCCAGAGATGGAGCAGAAGGAAGAGAAGCCCTCTGAGGACGGGACCACTGTCTCCCCAACCCCAGAGGCCCCGGTGACGCAGGGAGGTGGAGCCTCTGCAGAAGAGGCCAAAGGTACAACCCAGCTGAGCGTCAAAGAGGGGCCTCCGGATGGAGCAGGAAAGCAGGAAAGAGCACAAGCCGAGGACAGCACGCCAGCTGAACTTCAGAGGGAAGCCAATGGGCTGGATGAGGCCAAGGTGGAATCCAAAACGGAGGCTGAACTTCACGAGGAGGATGGCAGGAAGGGAGAGGACACAGAGGCTCCTCAGGAGATGACTGATGGAAAGGAAGAGACCCAACCTGACCCCAAGGAGGCTGAGGAAGCACAGGGGACCACGCTGGCCTCTGAGAAGCAGCAAGCTGATGAGAAGGAGGCCAAGCCCCAATCTAGGGAGGAAGCCCGTGTGAATGATGAGGCTGAGGCTGAGCCCAAGCAGGCTGCTGGGGCGCAGGAGGCCAAGACTGGAGCCAGGGAGGCTGATGGGAAGGAGGAGGCCACAGTGGCCTCTCAAGAGAAGAGCAGCAAGACAGAGGAGCCCGTGGCTGAAGCCCAGAAGAAAGCCAGTGCCCCAGAAGCCAGGTCAGACCTTCAGACGAAGGCTGCTGTGGAAGGGGAGGCGGACGCTGAACCTCGGGAGGCTGACGTGAAGGAGGAGGCGGTGAGTAAGGCAAAGGAGAGGAGGGAGGAGGCCCCCACAGTGTTCTGGAGTCCCCTGCACCCCAGGAAGTAAGCCCCCCACCCCTGGCTTTATTCCTTTGGGAAAGTCCAGTCTTCCCAATGACATCGAGAGCCTGGGGTGGGGGTATAGCCCCGTGGCCCCAGGCTGCCTTCCGGCTCTTCCTGAAGTCCTCACAAAACCTCAGGCAGGTGCTTGTGGGACCATGAGCCCACACAGATCATGTTCATTCCAGGAGCCAGGTAGTCCCAAGGAAGAGCAGGACCAGGGTGTGGAGAGAGAGTCAGAGGAAGGAGCAGGAGTGATTCCCAGCTCCCCTGAGGAATGGCTTGACAGCCCCACAGAGGAGGGCAGTGGCCTCCGCCCAGGTGAGTCCAGGGGGCCGTGGGGTGCTGTGGGAGCTATTCTGAGGAGGTGTGCAGACAGCATGTCAAGGTAGCTCCAGCTTCCCTCCCTCCTTCCATTCCCTCCCTCCAGATGGGTTGGGTCCAGACACAGCAGCTTCCGGAGAGACCAGTCCTTCAGCCAGGTAATGTCAGAATCGGGGGCCCCCATTCCAACTCCCTCTACTGCACGCTCCCTTCCAAGTCTACCATCGCCTGGGCCTGGGTCTCCCTGGCGCCTGATCTAGAGATATTCCAGGGTTCCTGGCTTTCAGCCCCCTACCCCAGGGCAGAGCCCAGGAAACCAAAGAAGCCAGAGGCTGGGAGCAAAGGGACCACTCCCGCTCCACCACGAAAGCCTCCTCCTCAGCGTCCTTGGCAGAGCTTCACGGGGCTCCTCATCTTGTCCCTCAGCACGTTTCCGTGGCGTCAGCCCTGCCCACAGAGTGTGAGCAGAAAGCCCAAGTTCAGAAAATGACTCTGCCACTTACCAACTGTGTGGCCTTGGCCGTGTCACTGTTCTCCTCTTCTATGAAGTGGGCCCCGTAATCAATACCTACCTCATAGCGTGAGGCTTATATGGGATAAAATGTATAAAGCACGTGGGGCGCCTGCCTGGCTCAGTTGGTAGAGCATGCAACTCTTGATCTCAGGGTCGTGAGTTTGAGCCCCAGGCTGGGCATAGAGATTACTTTTATAAAAAACAGTATAGAGCCCTGAGCACAGTACCTGGTACCTGGTGGGTGCTGGGTAAAGCGAGAGCCTTCTTCTTCTTCTTCTTCTTCTTTTTTAAAGATTTTATTTATTTATTTGAGAGAGAGAATGAGATAGAGAGAGAGCATGAGAGGGGGGAGGGTCAGAGGGAGAAGCCGACTCCCCGCCGAGCAGGGAGCCCGATGCGGGACTCGATCCCAGGACTCCAGGATCATGACCTGAGCTGAAGGCAGTCGCTTAACCAGCTGAGCCACCCAGACGCCCGAGAGCCTTCTTGCCAGTGTATAACTTGACTCATTGGAGGAATCATCCTTTGTCTTGACCCGAGATTCACCTCCGTGCCACTTTCTTAGGGAAGGATAGTGGGTGCATGTTCACTCGGGCCGTTAGGGGGCAGGCTCAGCTGGGTGCTCTCCACTCCCCTTCTTTCTCGAGCATTAGAGCCACCGTGTCAGGGAGCTCTTCTTGTCCCCAGTTTCCAGATGAAGAGGCTGAGGCTCAGAGAAGTGACATGACAGTCCCAAGATCACACAGCAAATAAGAGGCAAAGCCAGGATTCAGATTCAGGTCAGACCTCAGACTTGTCTTAGCTCTGCCCACACATCTCACCAGACCACACGCTCCCCAAAGTTAGACTGAGCCTCAGTTATTCGGCCTCGATCCCCTCCCCGTGCTGGGCACAGAGGAGAGGTGTGCCCGGAGTGGGGGCCACAACTTCATATGCCTCTTTTGACTGCAAGGAGCTCTCTCGCAGCCGGCCCCCTGCCTCCTGCCCCCTCCTATGCCCTGGAGCGGCTGGTCCCAGCCCTTCTCACACTGCTCTAAACCTTCTCCATAGTGAGTCTTCACCCAGCGAGGTGCCCCAGAGTCCCACAGAGCCCCCTCCCTCCCAGGAGAAGAAGAAAGAGAAGGCACCAGAGCGCAGGGTGTCAGCCCCTGCCCGGCCGCGGGGGCCCCGGGCACAGAACCGCAAAGCCATCGTGGACAAGTTTGGCGGGTAGGGTGCAGGCTGGGCTGGGCTGGGCTTTCCGCGCGGAAGGGTCGCTTCTCGGTGGGGAGGCCTGAGGGCGTGGGAGCTGCCCGGGCCCAAGTGGGAGGACTGACGTCTGGGGCGGGGGCTCCTCCCCCATGGGGCGTCCTGTGGCCTCTCACCTCTCTGGCCGGGCCTTCTCCATGCCTCCCCTTGCAGGGCAGCGTCGGGCCCCACGGCCCTGTTCCGAAACACGAAGGCAGCCGGGGCAGCCATCGGCGGTGTCAAGAACATGCTCCTGGAGTGGTGCCGGGCCATGACCAGAAACTACGAGGTGGGCAGGGAGCAGGGGCCGTGTGGGGCAGGGGACCCTTCCCCGGGGCGGCAGGTGGCGCAGAGCTCGAGGGGCTCACCAAGGCCTGCTCTGGGCCCCGCTCACCGGCAGCACGTGGACATCCAGAACTTCTCCTCAAGCTGGAGCAGCGGCATGGCCTTCTGCGCGCTCATCCACAAGTTCTTCCCCGACGCCTTTGACTACGCTGCGCTGCAGCCCACGCAGCGCCGGCACAACTTCACCCTGGCCTTCTCCACCGCAGAGTAAGCCGCAGCGGCGGACCACATTCGGGGGGTGGGGGGGGGGGGGAGGAGGCTGGGGGGCCGCGCACGCGCGCTGGATTCACATGGGGCGGGGAGCGGGCTGGTCATTCGGCCACACGGTCACGCATCCAACAGACGCTTTTCGATCGCCAGGAACTGTGTCAGGACACAGCCGTGGGTGAACTGGGCAGAACGCCCGCTTGCCGTGGCTTAGAGTCTAAAGGGCGAGACGGATCATAAGCACAGCCCTCCGTGTGAAATGTAACGCGGGGCGCAGGGGGCCGTGCCCTAAAGAGAACGCAGGCAGGGCAAGCCGTAGAAGAGCCGCAGGCCTGCCGTTTTAGACACGGTGGGCGCCGAGATTTGGGGCCACAGTCTGACTCTGCCATTTCCTCGCGGTGTGATCTCGAACAGGCTCCTTTACCTCTCTGAGCCTTCACGTCCTGATTTCTAAAATGGGCACGTTTACTCTTCTGCAGGGCTACTGCGAGAGTTAAGTAAATAATTAGGTGAAGTCTACAGCAGTGCCTAACCCAGAGCAAACCTCCAAAAAAAGAATCTGAGCTGTTGTTCCTATATGATGATGGATGATAGCAGTTTTTACAATAATTATTCATCACTTTGGGGGATTTCTTGCTGAGGCTTGCTCGGCTGAATGCCAGGGGTGGTGGTGGTGGTGGGCTGGAGAAAGGGGTACTGGAAAAGCAGGAGTGTGAGGAACAGTGTGGCCCAAGGAAGAACCTGAGAGGCAAAGACGCGGCTGCTAGGTGGTGGTGTGAGGGGAGGTGCGCCCACCACCAAAGTACCAGAGCCAGCCTCAGACGGAAGCCTCTGTCTCTACCTACCCTGGAGGCCTGAATGCACTCTGATGGCCTTAGGGCTCCCAAGGAGCGCATGCCAGGAGCACCTCTTCTCTCCAGGCCCAGGGAGAGGCTTCTGAGCCATCTGGTAGAAATGGATTATGCAGAGGATGTTGCCCGTGAGGTCAACTCTGAGGCCCCAGAGTGGACAGATGAGGGCACCTCCAAAGCCTCAGGACAGGGAGGGAGTCCCTGGGGATGTCAGCAACACTTGGGGCTGGAACGCTGAGCCCGCTGGTCTAGCCCAGGCCTGGCCACCAACCTGCAGGGAAGCCTGGGGCAGCACCGTTCCCCTCTCTCGCCCTGCGTGTCCCCCTGGGGCAAAAGGGGAAGATGGATGTGGAGCTGTGCTTTGCAAATGGGTTTTTCTTTTTTCAGCAGATTCCTCAAACAAAATATTAAGTGAATGCCCGACATATAAAATAGATTACAGGGGGACCTTTTTATTTTTTTTAAACTTTCATTGAACTAAATAACACTTTTCTTATGAAATGTACATATTGCTTCAAAACAGTAGCTCATTCCTAGAGGTTGGACTTCATGGCTGTAACTTGTATGTAGTGAAACTGGTACAGAAGGCCCAAAGCATGCCTTAACCCAAATGAAAATTGTCTGTAGCCTGGATGACGTTGGATAAAGTGACCTGTTAAGAGGAATCATTACAACCACTGGCCTCTAGGTTATTTGAGCTTATCACTCTTCTCAGCCACCTGCTCATGGTTACGATCTAGTTTTTGCCAGTAATTGTATCACCTTCAAAATGTTGGTTTCAGACATTGAGCGCTCTCTCCCTGTCCCCACCCCTCCCCTCTCTAGCTCACTTAGGTTAGCAGCCCCACTCCAAGAGATTTTTAACCCCATGGGGACTTCGAATCCGGTAACCTCACCATTTTCCACTTTCGGTCAGCTTCCTTATGTCCTCACTCCCCAGCTTCGAGTTCATGGTCTATCAGTATCATCACTCACAAGGGGACCTTTCTAGGTTGGGAGGGGTTCCTGGAGCACACCAGCTCCGCACCCAACACCCTTCCCAAGATGCTCCCTGAGGCACGTGTACGGGGCCCTAGGGCACCAAGGATGCAATTTGAAAACCACCAGACTTGATATTCCAGAAGACCCCTTCCAGTTTTGCATTTTCCTGCCAAGGGATGGAGTGAGCACCATGGGGTGGGAAGCCGAGGGGGTCAGGAGTGCGAGGTCCTGCTCTGGGTTCAGAAGCACCTTTAATGATGATGACAAGCCCCATGAATTGAGGGAGATTAGGTGCCGGGCGTCCTCCTAAGAGCTTTCCTTGGATCGTCTCATTCTATGTTCTTAGCAGTCTTAGAGGGCGGATGAGTAGTGAGGTCCCTCGATGTCCTAGGTTCATACAGGAGGTCCTGGCAGAGCTGTGACATAGATGTGAAACTCCCAGTCGAGGCTGAGAGCTGTAAGTGAACGCCAGGAACCAAGTGTCCCTGGCCCGCAGGACACAGGTCATTGTCCTCCTGCAGTTGCCCTGCCTCGGTTCCAAGCCAGGCAGAGCCTGGAGGAGGCAAGATGAATAATCAGGCGACGAGGACTGGGCTGCCAGGAGGCATCAGGCAGCAGTGAAAAGGGAAGGCTGTTGGTAGGGATGCGTGGGGCCACAGGATGGAGGAGCTGACCTGCAGAATTTGAATCTTGCCCCTCAGTCTTGCGTTTGAGTTTGGACTGTCAGGGGCTCGGTGACCTCATCTGTACAATGGGTTGGTCGGCCTAGATGACCTCTCGGCTCCAACATACACGATTCTCTGGGTTTCACCCTGGCTGGTCTGCGCCCCTCCCCCTGGCCCCCGCATCCTTCAGGTTTGGCTCTACCCCTCAGGAAACTGGCCGACTGCGCCCAGCTGCTGGAGGTGGACGACATGGTGCGGCTGGCGGTGCCTGACTCCAAGTGCGTCTACACCTACATCCAGGAGCTCTATCGCAGCCTTGTGCAGAAGGGGCTGGTGAAGACCAAGAAGAAATGAGGAGTGGACCGGCCCTGTGGGTGGAGGTGGGCAGAGCTGGGGCTCGAGCCAGGGCAGGTGGCACAAGTCTTAAATGCATTAAAAGTACTTTTTATAAAATCCTGTCTGGCCCCTCAGTGCACCCTCCATACACCCCCCCGCCCCGCCCCGGGAACCTTGCTCCCTCTGGAATAATAAACCCCAGCCGCCAGGGTTCCTCCCCCCACACGATCTTCTCAACAACCAGGATGGCCATTTGGGAAAGGACAATGGCCTGGGCACCACCCAGCCCCCCCCCCCCCCCCCCCCCCCCCCACTACGCAGCTGTGTGACCTTGGGCCAGTGAGTTAATCTCTCTGAGCCTCAGCTTCCGGTCTGAACAGGGATAACTGGAGTTCAAACCTGATGGAGGTGTTGTGAGGGTTGAATGAGATAATGAAACAAGCAAACAGCCTTGCCTGGTGCCTGTCACTTAAGTGTTCCCTAAGTGAGGCCAAAAGTAAATGCATTCGTACATTTCAAGCCATTGGTGGCGCTTTTCCTGATTCTCTTCCCTCTTTCCACACTTCTCCCAGATTAGATGCTGGGATAGAAGATTCTCTGGGAATCACAAGCTAGGTCAGCAGGGCCTGGGGTGATACCGTGCACTCTGTCTCTTACAAGCAGCGGCCTCCCAGAAGCTTAGACTGATGCTCCCTGAAGGTCCTTCCTTCGGGTTAAGTTAATCCCTCTGTTTGGGCTGAAGTTCTGGCTTGCTTTTGATTTTCCATTGTTCGTTGGAGATGCTCCCCTGAGCTGCTTATAATTTCCTGCTAACAGGCCTGTCTGCCTTTATCAGCCATTCGGAGCACGTGTGCTGACGAGAACAGCTCATGAGAAACATGGAAAAGAAAACCAGCCAGCTTGGCGCTGCGGCCGAAGGTGTGGATCCTGCCCTGACTGGCAGGGCAGACCCGGCCATCCACCGAAGCACTCTGTGCCTCAGTTGCCTCGTCTGTAAAATGGGGGTGCTCCCCCTGTGGACGGGTTGACAGCCTAGTCCCTTACGGGCAGTTTTCCCCACAGCGTTTGGGGTTACATGAGGCTTGAAGCCCAGCGAGCCGTCCATTTTAGGGAGCAGGGTCACACCTTGTAGTAGAGAGCAGCTAACCCTCAGCCTCACCTTCTCCCAATGAAACCACCCCATCCTTTCAACGAACACTCAGCCAGCCTCCAAATTCATCTGTGACTTTAATGGGTGGACAAGCAGATGGTTTCTGTGGTCCCCCTGGACTGGAAGCTGGGGGGGACACTCCTCCCAGCCTGAAGGCTAGCCCCCAGAAACCAGTAACCTAAGGGGATAGCAAGTGGTTTTAAAACCATGTAGTCAGGGAACACCTGAGTGGCTTAGTTGGTTAAGCGTCTGACTCGTGGTTTTGGCCCAAGTCATGATCTCAGGGTTGTGGGATCGAGCCCCGCATCAGGCTCCGCGCTCAGGGTATAACCTGCTTGAGATTCTCTCTCGCGCCCTCTGTCCCTCCCCTCTGCTCGTGCACACATTCTTCCAAATAAATAAATAAATAAAATCTTTAGAAAAAGGAAAAAAAGAGTTTAAAATCATGTAGTCAGTGGCGCCTGGGGGGCTCAGTCGATTGAGCTTGGTTTCAGCTCAGGTCATGATCTCGTGGTCGTGAGATGGAGCCGTGTGTCAGGCTCTGTGCTCAGCAGGGTGTCTGCTTGAGATTCTCTCCTTCTCCCTCTGCCCCTCTCCCTACTCGTGTGCTCGATCTCTCTCTCTAAAATAAATAATAAATTAAAAAAAAAAAAACCACGTAGTCAGATTTTCAGGATGGAGATTCTTCATTTCGTGATTTATCAGTGGAAAAGGAAAGGTTTAGCACCTAAATCTAGACACGTAATACCTATTAGCAGTCTGGCCGACTTCAGTCACTCCATAAACAAATTGCTCAATTGTAAATATGATTCTGAGTGCCCTAGCCTCCCATGCATACTCCCCACGTGCCCTCTGCCCCCTGATGCCTGGGACCTGCGGGGATTCTGGTTGCCTTCTAGGCTCATTTCCTGCCAGCTGGCCTGGAGGTGACCTGTGTCTGTAAGAGCAATTAGTGAGACCAGGATTTCCAGAGAAATCTGGAGAACTGTACTGTCATGAACTCCTCTGGCTCTGGGGTGGAGAAAGAGAGCGGGAAAAGCCCACCTGTGGCCAGGTGAACCTGGGAAAGGGTCCACACACCACACACACAGACTAATGACTAACAATCTATGAAGGAAAATATGGAACAAAGGAGAGGGGCTCCAGCCCTCAGTCCACGGCACATGCCCGTCCATCACACAGAGGATGGGTGAGAACGGTTAGGAGGGCCGGTCCGCTCCATACTTGAGGGTGAACTCTCTGGCCTCTTTGTCGAACAGCTCCGGGTTCTTTGTCAGCAGATCCGCGAGCTCCACCCGAATAGGCTGCCCGAGGTCTGGTTTATTCACCAGCACGCTGAGGGCCTCCAAGACTGGGGAAAGAGGCCAGATCAGGACAGCAGGATGAGAGAAAAACCCGGGGAAGGAGGCGATGGCAGCCCACCCCCAGATGCCCCGGCATTTCACACTCACTCCGCGGGGGACTCCCGGGGAGCTTCCATCTCTCAGGATGAGGATGACTCTATGACCGAGTCAAATGCCCCCCGTTCCTCACTGATGATGCCCAAAGCCCTGACTGGCTACACCAGTGCTTTCAAACTATGTTCCATGCGTCAGAGAAGCTTCCCATCATGGGGGTCGATGAGATAACTGGGGTTTCGGGGTCCCACTCCCTTTTCAACAAGAACCACTCTGTTTTTCTGCTTGATATTAGGATTTCAAATCAACTTTTATTTGGGAAAAAGGGTTCTGAGGCTAAAGACTGGAAACCACTATTGCCCTGTGGCTCTGGGAGCCCAGTGAAGGCAGTGGTCCATCGCTCAAGGCAGGTGCACATATGAACACACACAAACATGTGGTTCTACATTAAGAGTGCTCCACAGTCCCCCTGGGTGACTCCTCCTTTCCCTCTGGGGATCCTTGTTTCCAAAGGCTAAGAACTCCTGAGCTGGCCGGGGCACCTGGGTGGCTCAGTCGGTGAAGCCTCTGACTCTTGATTTCAGCTCAGCTTGTGCTCTCAGGTCATGAACTCAGGGTCACGAGATCGAGCCCTGAATCAGGCTCCTCACGCAGTGGGGAGTTTGCTTGAGATTCTCTCCATCTCCCTCCCCCCACTCTCACCCCCACTCGTGCAAACACACACACGCTCTCTTTCTCTCTCTTAAAAAATAATTAATTAATTAAAAAAAAAGAACTCCTGAGCTGGTCCAGAAGCAGGACAGACTGCACACAGATTACACTCATGGGCTCTAGAAACGCACTGTCCACTATATAAGGTAGCCACTAGCCACCGTGTATATACCTAAATTGAAATGAATTAAAATTAACTGCAATGAGGAATTCAGTTCCTCCGTCACATTAGCCACATTTCAGGTGCTCAGCAGCCACCCGTGGCTACTGATCAGGAACTGGACCGTGCAGCTATGGAACATTTCTATCACTACAGAACGTTCTGCTGGGTAGCACTGTTCTAAAGTCAGCCAAGCCTGGCTTTGAAGCCCCGCTCGGCCACTTGCTGTATGACGGTAGGCAAGTGCTTTAGCTGTCATGTGCCCCGGGATCCTCATCGACTCAAGAGGCAATGAGAACACCATTCATGGGGCTGCTGGGATCAGATGAAGTCGGTGTGCGAAGCTCCTAGCACGGTGCTCAAAGTGCTTCATCGATGTGTACTGCCATTACTGGGCCAGTGTCCTCAACTGTCATTTAGTGCACTGAGCCTGGGAAGGAACAGACCTCACCAAGGTCTGCAGACAGAGCAGCAGAGCCCTTCCCTCCACAGCCCATGCTTCTCTCTCCCATGACCCACAGCAACGCTGCTCTGTTGCACCTGTCCAGGTAGAAGAGCAGGGGCAGGACCAGGTCAGCCAGTCCAGCGTCTCAGGATGCATCCCTTTTATCCAAAGACAGGCTGAGAGGTGCCTGGGTGGCTCCATTGGTTAAGCGACTGCCTTCGGCTCAGGTCATGATCCCGGAGTCCCGGGATCAAGTCCCACATCGGGCTCCCTGCTCAGCGAGGTGCCTGCTTCTCCCTCTGGCCCTCCCCCCTCTCGTGTACTCTCTCTCTCATTCTCACGCTCTCAAATAAATAAATAAAAAAAAAAAAAATTAAAAAAAAAAAAAAAAAACAAAGGCTCAGCTGAGACCCGCAATTTTCATCTCCTCTCTTTTGGGCTTTTCTGACTCAAAATCAGTCCCATAACCCCACATCCCGGATCAGTCCCTCCTGTTAAGCGAGGCCCAGTCCCACCTTGGCAGGTCTTGGTGTGAGGCTTCCAGTTCTCACGGCTGATGATGGGCAGGCAAACGCTTCCGTTGTGGTCCACGTTGGGGTGGTAGATCCTGGTGGTGAATGTCACTGTAGGGGGCTTGAACGGATAGTCCTTGGGGAAGTTGATGCGCAGGTGGAAGGCCTTGAGGTTGTAGGGTGGTTTCTCCTGTGCAAGAGAAGGGGTCAAACTCTGTTCCAAAACAGGTCTGCTCTGAAAAGACCGGTTTCCTCCTAGGACCTCGGTCTGGCTCCCCCCCCCCCTCTGCCCCACCCTGGGCTCCCAGGCATCCTCTCTGACACACTCCCAGGTGGCACCTGCACTCACTTGGTGACCGTGCCACGGATTTGTGGAAGAGTAGAGTCACAGAAGAATCCTGGCCGGGGAGACACCAACATCAGATCCTGGCTCAAGCTGTACAACTGACTATGGACCAGCCGCCTCTCACCTTAGGGCCCGTTTCCTCATCGAAGACTGCGGCAAGTTTGATTAGACGAGCTCTAAGGACTATCTCGGCTTTTATTGTGTTTTTTTTTTTATAATTAGCTTTTTTCCAGTTTTATGTGTAAGTTTAAGGTGTACAGCCTAACAGTTTGATTTATATACATGGTAAAGTGATGAGCACAGTAGGTTCAGTTAGCATCAATCTTCTCACATAGATACAATAGAAAGGAAAGAAAAAGAAGGGGAGCGCCAGGGTGGCTCCGTCAGTGAAGGGTCCGACTCTTGGTTCTGGCTCAGGTCCTGATCTCGGGGGCCTGGGATCGAGCCCCATGTCAGGCTCTGAGCTCTGCATGGAGTCTGCTTGTCCATCTCCCTCCCCACGACTTCCCTCTCAAATGAATAAATAAAATCTTTAAGAAGAAAAAAAAGGGTTAGAATGGTAAATATTGTTATTGTGTACTTTTACCGTGATAGAAAAAATGTTTTAAAAAGAAAGAACTCAGGGGCTGAGGTGGCCGAGGGGTTGCCAGGAGCCAGTAGAAGACCCTCTGGACTTCGAGCAACCTGAAAACTTTCCTGGGCACTTAGCCCGTGCCACATTGTGTTAAGAGCTTGACACACACTAGTCCATGCAGCGGACAATAGGGGTTACATGAACTTTGGAGCCACCCTGCCTCAGCATGAATCTTGGCTCTGCCATTCTCTAGCTGTGTGACCTTATGCAAATAACTTAACCTCTCTGGGCTTCCATATGAGAATGATAATAGACTTCTTCCCAGAGCTTATGTGAGGACTAAATGAGTTCATTTATGTTAAGGGCTTAGAACAGGGCCCAGCACCTGGAAAGCACTACCTTTGTGTCAGCTACTACAGGAAGGATTATGAGAATTCACCACTATTAGCATCTATTTTATGATAAGGAAACTCAAGTTCAATGTCTATAACTTGCCCAGGATCACAGCGGAGTGCCGGGTGGGAACCCAGTGCCACCAACTCTACGTCTCCACACGTGAGCATTAGTCTACGCTCCTAGAAGCAGAGAGCCCTGGAACTCAGGTGACCCTAGCACAGAGCACAGAGGCTCCCAGCTGGTTCCAAAGTCCAGATCCTTTCAGAAATTTTGTTACCAAGAAGACAGGACAAAGACAGGCAGAACGACATATGGATGTAAGCCCAGAGTCAAGGTTGTACGAGAGCTCCTCTTGGTTAGCAGAGGACAAAATGGGAGCCATGGTGGTCCTGGGTGTGTCAGAGATTGGAGGGACAATACAGGGCAGAGAAGGAAGAAGTCTTAGCATTCCCATTTTTGATAATAAGAGCCCGGGGCCTGTGAAGTAGAGACAGGGTCAAGGGTGAGGCTTCATGGAAGGGATGGGAGAATGTCCGTGTGTCCTGTCTGCAGGGGTGCAGGCGGGGCTTCCTGGGTCCTAACAGAGGAAGGAGGCTGCCCAGCCTTGGAGCCGGGGGGGGGGGGGGGGGGGGGGGGGGGTGGCGGGGGGGGGGGGGGGGGGGGCGGGGGGGGGTGGGGGTGTGGGGGGGGGGGGGGGGGGGGGCTGGTTGCCTGGGGCGTGGCTTGGAGCTCCTCCAGAAAGCAGTTTCCTATCTGTAACATGAAGAAGTCAGACCACCCAACAGCTTCGTATTGGGGTCAGCTGAGAAAGCCCTATTTCCTCCTGAGTTCTGGGTTTAGAAAAAGCACTCGGCTATTCTTCCAGCTCTGCCAGCTTCTCCTGTGTGACCTTCTGTGTGACAAGTCACCTAACCCCCTCAGCCTCCAGTTTCCTCAACTGTAGAAAGGTGTCAGTCTTCCTGGTGGGGTGGCTGAGAGGATTTTAGTATGACGCTCATGCAATGTCCTGGAAACAGGGCTCGGTCTACAGGGGGTTCTCAGTGAATGGAACTCTTACTGTGAGTTTTCAAAGGCTCGTCCCACTGTCAGCTTTTTTACAAGGTGACAAGTGGTGCTACCTTGGTGAGCGTGTATATTGAGACTGAGCTTTTTTTTTATTTTAAGATTTTATTTATTTATTTGACAAAGAGACAGCGAGAGGGAACCCAAGCAGGGGGCGTGGGAGAGGGAGAAGCAGGCTCCCCACTGAGCAGGGAGCCCAATGCGGGACTCGATCCCAGGACCCTGGGGCCATGCATGACCTGAGCCGAAGGCAGACGCTTAACGACTGAGCCACCCAGGCGCCCCTGAGACTGAGCTTTTGGGGGCAATCCGCCAGCTCGTCCCACAGACCTTCCTGGGTTCTCCTTCCCCTGCCCGCCAACCATGCCTCTTTATGGCTTTACCAGGCACCTCTGGGCCCCCTTAGCTGGCTGTCCTACAACAACCCTTGACGCCCCCCAATCCCAGACTCTTCCCAACTAGCATGCTTGTTCAGGACCCCTGTATGGCTGGACCAGAGACCTCTGGCTAGTTCCTGGGGACACACCTACTGTGCTATTGTGATTTATAAGAAATAGATATTTGGTCATTCAGAAATATTCTCATATATATCTGGTCTTTGTCCACAGTGCCTAGCTCACAGCTCACAAAAACCCTTGGAATTTCCCAAGTGTTGAGAGTGACGCACATGTCTTTTTTTATGTTAATGAAGTAGCTTTTGGAAGCACCTAAGGTTGGGGGCTGTAGACAGAGGAGTCAACCCTGGGATTAAAGGGTCGGAGGGGAGAAGGGCTCCAGTTCAATCACCAATGGTCAATGATTTAATCGATCGTGTTTATGTAATAAAGCCTCCATAAAAACCCAAAAGGGCAGGGTTCAAGACAGCTTCTGGGCTGGTGCACACGTGGAGATTTGAGGAGAGTAGCATGCCAGGAGAGGGTGGGAAGCCCCGTGCCCTTCCCCCATGCCTTCCCTGTGCATCTCTTCCATCTGGCTGTTCTGCGATATAACCTTTCATCATCAACTGGTCAGTAAGGACAATGTTTCTGCATTCTGTGAGCCACTCTAGCAAAGTAATCGAACCCGAGGAAGGGGTCATGGAACCTCTGATTTATAACCATTCGGGTCAGAAGCAGCCTGGATTCGAGACTGACATCTGAGGGGAGGCGGGGGCGTGTGTGCAGGGGGTACAGAGCCCTTAATCTGTGGGATCTGATTCTATCTCTAGGTAGATCGTGTCAGAAGTGAGTTAAAGAATAGGACACCCAGCCAGTGTCCTGAGAATTGCTTGGTGGTGGGGCAAGGGTCGCCCCTCCACACGCTGGAATTGTGCTCAGACCAGAAGACCAGCTACCTCGGTTTTGCCAACCATTAGGGTCCTCTCATTTCACAGTATACTCTGAAATGTGACCTTCCCTCGGTTTCCCTGTCATCCACCTTCTTCCTTCTGACCTGCTCCTCCACCTTCACTCTCATCCGCCTCAGAGCTAGTCTCCTTGGGGATCTAATCCGTCCCTGGAGCACCTTCTAGCACCTTTGTCCTCTGGCACTCGAGGCCCAGAGTAGGGGTCCTCACTTCAAGCCAGGTAAATGGATTGCCTCAACCCAGCAGCCCACAGGGCTTGACAGATGTCCGCCTTCAGCTCAGGTCATGATCCCAGGGTCCTGGAATCGAGTCCCGCGTTGGGCTCCCTGCTCAGCGGGGAGCTTGCTTCTCCCTCTGCCTGCCGCTCCCCCTGCTTGTGCTCTCTACTCTCTCTTTGTGACAAATAAATAAATAAAATCTTAAAAATAAAAAAGTCCAAATCCTAAATAATCAAATGAATTGTTCTCTTGATATTCCAAAGAACTACCATAAAGTTTCACTGTTTTAATTTTTATGTCCATGTAACTAAAGGTGTGTAGATGACTTCCCATAGAAAATATCATCAGTCTATTAATGATAAAATAGAAATGCTGCACTCAGACAGGTCCTCTAGAATACTGTTTTCGCGGGGAGATTTTACTGAGAGAGATTTAATAAATGGAGAAAAATCGGAATAGTAGAGATGAGTTATTCAGATTGTTCTACGTAACAGTAGTTGTCTGATCACTATACGGTACACCCGAAACTTATATGTCACTCTCTACGAACCATACTGAAGTAAAAAAAAAAAAAATAAGTTGTCTGAAATATGATCTTTAAAAGAAAACAGAATACATTTTAGGTTGGGGAGGGCAAATTCCGCCAACTGTGAAAAACAGGAAGTTTACCCCTACCCCATGACAAAGGTCCAGGAGTTCTGTTTTCTTCTTTCGGGGCCGTTTGTCTGCTGACACTTCTGTGGCGGGCTTGGTGACCACTGGCTTGAGGAGAGAATCTCCTACGAAATCCAGAAGTCTTTTTTTGGCCCTTCATCAGCCTGCTTCGACCTCAGAAGCAGTCAATGCAGAGACCTCTACCAGTGAGTGACCTCCAGTCAAAAAAGGACTCTAAGGCAGGGGAAACTCTGGCCCAGTCCTCAGCCTCCCTTGCCCATGGCCCTGGCCTGCCACCCCAATGGAAGGTCATGGTCCCCAGGGACACTCACGGGCAGAAGGAGCACATGCCACACCAGGACGTCCGCATCATCGCTGGACAGGTTCCGCAGGTACGTGGGAAGCTTCTCCTGAAGATCCTCCAGCTCCTGCAGGGGGCACAGGGGTGGGCAGGGGCCTAGCCTCCCCTACTTCAGCCGCCCATCCACCTGTCCCAGCAGAAAGCTGTCCCAGGTCCCAAAAAGGACCTCCTAGGGACAGACGCTGACCAAGTCAGAGACCTCATTTACTGAGCACTTAGAATATGCCAGGCACAGGGGCTCCTGGGCGGCTCAGTTGGTTAAGCGTCTGACTCTCGATTTTGGCTCAGGTCACGATCTCAGTCAGGGTCGTGAGACTGAGCCCTGCAACCAGCTTCCCACTCAGCAGGGAGTCTGCTTCTCTCCCTCTGGCCGTCCCCCTGCTTGCACACACTCTGTCTCTCAAATAAATAAATAAAATCTTAAAAAAAAAAAGGTTTATTTGACAGAGAGAGAGTTTGAGAGAGGTCAAGTAGGGGGAGCGGCAGAGGGAGAGGGAGAAGCAAGCTCTCCACTGAGCAGGGAGCCCGATGCAGGGCTCCATCCCCGGACCCTCAGATCATGACCTGAGCTGAACGCAGACGCTTAACCGACTGAGCCACCCAGGCGCCCCAATAGATAAATCTTAAAAAAAAAAAAAAAAAAAGAATGTGTCAGGCACAGCGCTGAGTGTTTTAAGTGACTTAGGTGCCTTTAGTCTCACCAAGCTCTGTAGGTACTAGGTGGGAAGAGAAGATGAGATCCTTGTTTCCAGACATTATTACTCTCTTTGGAGCCTTTCTTTCTAAAGCCAAGATACTACACTACACCTCCGTCCTTTTGCTCTCTTCCTGGAGAGACACAAGGTCCTAATTCCCGCCCTCCCTCCCTTCTTCCCACGGCACCCACTGCATGTCCAGCATGACGACAGACCCGTCCAGTGCTCATGGCAGAGAGGGCAGCAAAGACAGACTCCTCCAGGCCAGGGCTGGGGGAGGGAGATGGTTCAGGCCGACTGTAGCAGAGGAGAACACTACACACCAAGCAGAGAAACAAGGCGACAAGGAGTGACTCACACGCCCACCCCTGCCCCCACATGTAGCCCAGTGACCGGGACATCACTGCATTCTCCCTCCAGCGCATTACAGAGCATCTTCTATTTGACGGCTTGAGTGAGAAGGGCCCAGCCCTCAAGACCTTCCCTGGAGTAATGGCAGAAAGGTGAATGTGACTGTGTGAAGGTGTGCGGCTACACACTGGGGTTAGAGGAGGACGGGGGCACTGAGCCAGGCCATGCAGAGTAAACAGGAGTCCACCATGCAGAGAAGGGGAGAGGCACCAAGGCAGAGGGCCCAGTGAGAGCAAATATGCACAGTGTGCCCCACGCAAGCTTACTAGTTATTGATGGAAAAGGGTTCCGTGATCAAGCACTTTGGAAAACATAAAGCTAAAGCGTATTGTGAATCTCCAAGATGTGAGCCCACAGCATACAGTACTTCTCACACATATCTGACCAAGGAACCCCTCTTCCCTTTTGGGGTTCATCCTGCAGGACAACGGATCTTTTCTTTGGAAAACCAAACAACAACAATAACAAATAAAAAGACATTCAAGGGCAAGTCATATTCCTCTGGAACACCAAATGGGTATAAACCATTGGTTTTCAACCAGAGGCGATTTGACCCCACCCCCCAGTGGACCTTGGGCAATGTCTAGTACCATTTCGGGCAGTCACAAATTGGGGGACTGCTATCAGCATCTAGTGGGCAGAGGCCAGGGATGCTGATAGACATCCTACAAAGAATTATCCAGCCCCAGGTGTCAACAGTGACAAGGTTGAGAAACCGTGGTATAAACAAAGGCAGACAGAAAGCTCAAACCCAGTCCACAGTATGGGAGGGCCTTTTCAGACTGTGGACCACATGAACTTTCTCTGCACCCCCAACATATAAACAAAACCCTGGCCCCATCGCCTCTGTCTCAGCTCATACTCTGTCTCTGTTCATACCCACAAACTGCTTCTCGTGCCTTCTGCCCAGTCTATAAATCCTCAATTATTTTTCATTCCAAAAGTAGAAGCATCTGCTCCCAAGAGTCCTAGCTGCAGCATCATCTATGACTCTTTGGCAAGAAATGAAGCCCTAAGTCAAACAGAGCTCTGGAGAGGACATTTTCCCGACTCTACTGTAACTGAGATCGCTTGGACTTTTCTGTTGTAGAAGAGCTCTCCCAAAAGATTCTGCAAGCCTGAGGATACCGAAACAAAAGCTAGGACACACGGCTCTTTCCTGAGGCCAGTGAGGAAGTCACCTGACTCAGAGGAAAAGAAAATGAAAGTAAAGACGCTACTGGACAAGCCTGTGGGTTGGAGCCCCACCAACCAGGGCTCCAATTCCAGCCCCATCACTCCCTACTGGGTGACCCTGGACAACTAAGTTATTCTCTCTGAGCCTCAACGTCCTCATCTGTAAAATGGGGGTGTAAGACTTATCTCACAGAGTTGCTGTGGGAATTTTACAAACTAGAAGTGGCCTGGCATTTCGTGGTGCCAGTGTGATAAATACTGGCTCCTAGCTCTTTCAGGCTTGGCTAGAAGGACCTTCTGCCCCATTTTGTTGCTAAGCTCCAGATTTCAGATCTTCTGGGCTGAGCCAGCTCTATGCCCCAATCTGAGACGCTCTATCTCGCAAAGGTGGAGGGGAGCCGGCAGCCCTCCTCACCCCCTTAAGCTCACCCCCACTCTACACACTGGAGGGGTGCTTCCGAGAGAGTCAAAGTCTGGGGCATGTCAGACCCATTTCACCATGAGTGCTCTTCGTTCCCCACCTATGCCCACCTCTGGGCTACACCCCAGTCCTTCAAACACCCTGGGTTTTCCCACCTCCCGGGGAATTTGCCCCCTTCCCATCCTCCCAGACCTCATTTCAAATTGTGTTCCTGACTGGAGGGGCATCTGGGTGGCTCAGTCAGTTAAGCGTGGACTCTTGATTTCCACTTGCTGGGGTGATAATCTCAGGGTCATGGGATCGAGCCCCAGCTCAGGCTCTGTGCTCAGCGTGGAGTCTGCCTGGGATTCTCTCTCTCAAATAAAAATAAATAAATCTTCAAATTGTGTCCCTGATTGGAAAGAAAGCTCAAGGGGGGTGGGGGGGCAAGATTTGTGCTCATCTCTGCCTCCCTGCTTCCTAGAACAGGAGCCAGCACATAACAGGCTTTTGACAACATTTGTAGAAGGAATGAGTGCACGCCACCTACTCCAAGACGCCTTCCAGCTCCTCCTTGGCATCTTTTCCTCCTGAGAATACCCAGGGAACTTTGTTCCTGGCTTCTACTCAACACGCCATACTTCTTGGGACTCTAGAAATGTAAGTACCCAATTCCGGGGCGGGGCAGGAGCTACTCCAAGGCAAAGACCTTGTTCTCATTACCTCTGTTCCACACACACACACACACACACACACACACACCGCCCCCCGCCTCAGCAGAGCGCCTGGTTCCTGGAATCTTTCCAGCACCTCCGTGAGACGCATGCAATTGTTATCACAAGTTTCTGGCAGGAGAAAAGAAACCGAAACCCGTTCGGCTCAAGGAGAGCCGGCTCATCCCCATCCCCAGCACAGCCCAGGGAGGCAGCGACAGCCCCGCTCGAAACCCCCCAGGCTTCCTCCAGCTCCAGTTCCCGCCCCTCTCGCAGACCCACTCCTCCGGACCCGGCGGCGGTGACAGCGACAAATAACCGCGCTCCGAGAGCCAGGAGAGGGATGCAGGGGGCAGGGCAAGGGAGGCAAGGGGAGCCGTGAGAAAGGGGTCTCCGACCGCCGTTACCTTCGCCACCCGCTTGCTGGCCATCATCTCGGGACCGAGCGTGGGGGGAGTTCCGTGCTCTCCAGCAGGACTGAGCTCCGGCGCGCCCCCTCGGTGCGCCCCGCCCCGGGGGCCCCCCCCCCCGGGGCCCCGCCCCCCGAGAGCCCCGCCCCCGCTGCGCCGAGGACTCGGGTTCCCTCGGTCCCGCGCGAGGGCCTGGGATCCGGGGACCCGTGCGCACGCGGCGTTGCCTGGCCCCCTGCGCCCGCTGGGGGCGCCGTGCACCGGGCGGATAGCGCTCCGGGCACGGCGCCGGTCCGCCCCTCCGGGTTTTAGCTGCAGCTCCGGCGCCGGCGGCCGCGCGGGACCCCGCATCCCCACGGGCCTCTCCGTGCCACCTGCAGGACACACTCTCCGTGAGTCAGCACAGGCTGCTCGCGGTGTCAGCGCAGCCCCGCCGCAGGTCGCCCGCGGCCTCCGCCGTCAGACTGCCGCCCTGAACCGCTGGAGCGCGTTCCTGGGGCCCCGCTGGAAAAGCCACTTACCCACCCTGGGCCCAGTGCCCCGTCTCTAAAAATGGATGGGGGGTGGCTGAACGACATCCCCTGGCAGCTCGGCTCTTTGTGGTGTCCAGCAGCATTCGCTGGTGGGACCGCAGGAACGCTTCTCCCAGTTGGCGGCTTGGGTGCAGAGCACCGCAAGGGGGCGCTGTTGGACCCATTCCTCTCGCTTTACGGATTCCGTCCACAATTCATTCGGTCCTTGACTGGGTTTAATGTTTAGTGAGGGCCACTATGTGCTAATTTGGGAAACAGTTGGGTGGCGGGAGCCCCAAGATGGACTTCAGGAGCCTCTCTTCCGGGGAGGCTTCTCGGCCTCCCTTATGGGCCTACAATGTGCGACCCCAACACACAGCTTGGGGTCTCCACCCCTCTGTGCAAGGGCAGAGACCTTTCGCCTAGCCGGACCCTGAGACCACCATGGAATAGCAGCCCCCGAGCACGGAGCAGTATCTGGGGAAGAATCTCCTAGTAACACTGGACTCCTTGGGAGGACTGACCAACCCCTGTCAAAAGTCCAAATGAGGAAGGAAATCGGCATATTTTGAGTTCTGAGCTTGTACCCCATATAGTTTTTATCTAACTGTGTTAGAACTAAGTAACTTCTCTGCTCAGATGTGGGATGCATTTGCTGAACGATTAATTCTGTTTAATTCAATTCAGTAAACTAACTAAGCATCTTCTATATGCCGGAAGTGACTAGGAAACTGTCGGAAAGGTGAGGGAAGAAAGGCATTTGAACCTACCTCTGATCGAGCATCTTCGTTAATGAGCATTTACTACGGAGTGCCAGGCCCTGCCTTTGGGGAACACCCTGATGAGAAAGTGAGGTCCCTGGGGCGCCTGGCTGGCTCAGTCCATGAAGCATGGGATTCTTGATCTTGGGGCTGTGAGTTCAAGCCCCAGGTTGGGTATAGAGAGTACTTAAAAATAAATCTTAAATAAATAAAGTGGGGTCCCCTGTCCTTGAGGAGCTCTCAGGCTATTTAGACAGAGGGAAAGAATGCAGCCACTGTCTTGCTCCACCCAGGGCCTGCCGTGGTAAGTGTGGTAAGTGCTCAATACACACACAATACACGTCGTAGAAAGGAGGAATGGGAGAGAAGGATAAAGGGTTCTCCTATTTGGGAAGATAGTGTTCCCATTGCTCCCAGAGAACACACTCCGACATCTCTGTCCCTCCAACCCAGCGTATTCGCTCCTGGGCAGCGACCAAACATCATTTTAATATTTATTAGTGTTATTTTTACTACTTTTAACATTGTTTTATTTTTTATTTTATTTTTTTAAATTTTTTAAAGAATTTTATTTATTTATTTGACAGAGAGAGACACAGCGAGAGAAGGAACACAGCAGGGGGAGTGGGAGAGGGAGAAGCAGGCCTCCCGCGGAGCAGGGAGCCCGATGCGGGGCTCGATCGCACGACCCTGGGATCATGACCCGAGCCGAAGGCAGACGCTTAACGACTGAGCCACCCAGGCGCCCCTAACATTGTTTTTTTAAAACAAATTTTTGCTTATTTGTTTTAAGTAATCTCCACCCCCTTGGACTGTTGTGTTGCCGTCAGGAAGAGCTGGTTATTAGGAATTACTCCCTGGTCCAGAACCGGGGTATGGTGAGTTCCATGCTCCTACCTGCATGACTCTGGTCAATGCAATTTATAGCCTCCCTACCTTTGTTTTCCCATCTGTTGTCTTATGACTAACAAATATGGCAAACTGGGGGTGCTTGGGTGGCTCAGTTAGTTGAGTGTCTGACTCTTGATTTCGGTTCGGGTCATGATGTTGGGGCCGTGGGATCGAGCCTCATGTTGGATTCCATGCTTAGCATGGAGTCTGCTCGTCCCTCTCCCTCTGTGCCTCCCCCTCACTCTCTCTCCCTCTAAAATAAATGAATAAAATCTTTAAAAAAAAATAGGGCAAATTGGTGGCTCAGAAATGCAGTCAATTTTGCAGATATGTTTTATGTAGCTTGTACATTCTTTTTAATATGGTGCAACATTTTAAAAATGAAAGACTTAAGTGTCAAAGTAGAAAACTTATTTGCAACTTATTGCAAACAAAGAATTAGTACCCCTAATGCATAAAGAGTACCTTTGAATAAAAATTCAACAATTCTAGTAGAAAATGGACAAAAGATATGAAAAAATTCAATGAAAAGCATGAAGAAATTGTTCTTAAACATGTGAGGGGTGCCTGGCTGGCTCAGTCAGTGGAACATGTGACTCTTGATCTCAGGGTTATGGGTTCAAGCCCCACATTGGATGCAGACATTACTTTAAAAAATAAAATCTAAGGGTGTCTGGGTGGCTCAGTTGGTTAAGCAACTGCCTTCTGCTCAGGTCATGATCCTGGAGTCCCAGGATCAAGTTCTGTATCAGGCTCCCTGCTGAGCAGGAGTCTGCTTGTCCCTCTGACCCTCTCCCCTCTTGTGCTTTCTGTCTCTCACTCTCTCTCTCTCAAATAAATAAATAAAATCTTAAATAAATAAATTCTAAATAAAAAATGTGAAAGATCAGTGGCTATGCTTACAATAGGATAAATGTATATATGAAAAGCACACCAAAGTACTTTTTTTCACCTATCAGATTCACAAAATTTTATTTTATTTTATTTATTTTTTTAAAAATATTTTATTTATTTATTTGACGAGAGAGATAGCGAGAGAGGGAACACAAGCAGGGAGAGTGTGAGAGGGAGAAGCAGGCTTCCCACCAAGCAGGGAACCCAATGTGGGGCTTGATCCCAGGACCCTGGGATCATGACCCAAGCCGAAGGCAGACGCTTAACCGCTGAGCAACCCAGGTGCCCCCAGACTGGCAAAATTTTAAAAGTTGAATAATTAGTACACATCTTTGGGAGAATGTAGGAAAATAGGCACTTGCATATTGCTGGTAGAAATGTAAATTTGTACAGTCTCTACGATGAGCAAGTTGTCAGTAACTGGCAAAATGATAAATACGCATCCCTTTGATTCATCAGTTCTGCTTCTAGGCATTTTATTTTATAGATGTATGAAATTTTATTTTATCAATGTATGAAATAATGTAAGTACAGATTTACTTATTACAGCAAAACTTTGGAAACAATCACTATCAAGAGGGATCTGGTTAAATAAAGTATGGAATATCCATACAAGTAAATACAAAGCAGCCATAAGCAAGAATGAGGAAGCTATTTATGTACTGATAGAGAAGGCTCATAAAGATAAACTTTATGGAATAAAGCAAACGACGGTACAATGTGGGGACGCCTGGGTGGCTCAGTCGGTTAGGCGTCTGCCTTCAGCTCAGGTCATGATCCCAGGGTCCTGGGATGGAGTCCCGCATCCGGCTCCCTGCCCAGCAGGGAGTCTGCTTCTCCATCTCCCTCTGCCACTCCTCCTGCTTGTGCTCTCTCTCTCTGTCAAATAAACAAATAAAATCTTTAAAAAAATATATGGTACAATGTAAAAAGTATGTTATAATCTGTGTAAGTAGAGGAAAAATAGTATTTGCCTGTGTATGCCCACAACATCTCTGGAAGGATGCAAGATTCTGTGTTTGTCTCTAGTGAGGGTAACTAGGTAACTGGGTACTGAGGGGAGAGGAAGTCTTTTCACTATAAACCTCATTTCCTTTTAAAGTTTTGAAAAATGTGAATGAACTACCTATTGACGCAAGTGAGCAAACCTTTTAGAATCTCCAAAAGTAGAAAAGAGAGTTTTATTCGAGCCAAAGTTAAGACAGATGCCTGGGGAAACCTGCTCTTCACAGGGAAGAAAGCATTCTGGAGAATGAATGGATTTTACAGGTTATATACTTTTTACATGTTGTAAAAACTCAAAGGTTATAGATTAGCATATAGTAAGGAATCACGAGATCTATCGTAAAGGAATGCAGGAAATGGGAGCATTGAGTGATATCTCCAGGACAAAATGGTTTTCCTTTAGGTGACTCATTCACAAAACAGATGTACAATGCCTGTGTGGCCGGCCATAAATTAGGCTTTTGATTTGAACAAAGTTTATATATAGTCGTGTTGACTTAGAAAGAAATCTAAAATGGTTTTTCTTGTATATCAGGCCTTTAGAGAGTTTTTCTCTCATCAACCTCTTCAAAAATGAATAACATTTAAAATTTAAAATATTCGGGATGCGTGGGTGGCTCAGTTGGTTAAGCATCTGCCTTTGGCTCAGGTCATGATCCCAGGGTCCTGGGATTGAGTCCCACATCGGGCTCCCTGCTTAGTGGGGAACCTGCTTCTCCCTCTGCCTGCTGCCCCTCCGCTTGTGCTCTCTCTCTCTCAAATAAATAAATAAATAAATAAATAAATAAATAAATAAATAAAATTTAAAATGTTCTTTCTTTAGGGGCACCTGGCCAGCTCAGTTGGTGGAGCATGTGACTCCTGATTTTGGCGTTGTGAGTTCAAGCCACATATTGGGCATAAAGATTACTTAAAAATAAAATTTTTTAAAGATTTTTATTTATTTATTTGAGAGAGAGAGAATGAGAGATAGAGAGCACGAGAGGGAAGAGGGTCAGAGGGAGAAGCAGACTCCCTGCTGAGCAGGGA